CAAGGAGTGGCTGGTGGGTTTGAACCGCCAGCCTTCTAGTTAGCAGTTAAGTGCCTTAGGTACTATGCTACCAGAGTCAGGCTAATCATCAGCATCATATTAGGGACTTTATAAAAGATTTTCCCAAGTCTCCTGCTTGGAGGTTCTTATCAGGTAGATAGAAATATTTAAGTGAATTTTAAAATTCACTTCAGGAATTATTTCTTTCAAATAAATTGAAATAGCAGCCTTAGGAAAAGTCACTGCCACCTTATTTTCTAAATACAAGCCTCTTCAGTGCACCCTTTACATCCTTGTTTCTCAGTGTGTAGATGATAGGGTTTAACATGGGGGTCACCAAGTTGTAGAAGAGGGTTAGGAATTTCCCTCGATCTTGAGAAGAATTATTACCTGGTTGCATATACATATAGATAATATTCCCATAAAACAAGGAGACTACAGTGAGATGGGATCCACATGTGTTGAAAGCCTTTCTTCTTCCTGCAGCTGACTTGATTCTTAGTACAGTTAGGGCAATGTAATTATAAGATATGAGGATAAGAGACAAGGGCGCCAGGACAATTATTACTGATAAGATGAAAACAGTGCTCTCCACAGCTACTGTGTCCACACAGGCAGTTTTTATCAGAGCTGGCATTTCACATAGAAAATGTTTCACCCTACATCTTCCACATCGTGGCAGCTTCATAGTCACTGGAGACATAACCAGGGAGTTGAGGAGACCAATCCCCCAGGCCACAGACACCAATGTCCAACAGAGCTGAGGGTGCATAATTACAGAATAGTGAAGGGGCTTGCAGATTGCAGTGAAGCGGTCATAAGCCATAACTGCCAAGAGGACACATTCAGTACCACCCAGTCCTAGGAACATGAAGAGCTGAATGGCACAACCTGTGTAACTGGTGGTCTTGTCAGGGCTGCCCAAGTTAAAAAGCAGCTGGGGGATGGAACTGGTGGTAAAGCAGAGATCTAGGAAGGACAAGTTAGTAAGGAAGAAGTACATGGGTGTGTGGAGGCTGGGGTCCAGGCGAGAGACCAAGATGATGACAATGTTGCCCACTAAAGTCACAAGGTAGAAGATGAGGACAAAGAGAAAGAGGATCTGCTCTAGCCTGGGTCTGTCTGAGAAACCCAACAAGATGAACTTTTCCTGGCAGCTCTGATTGTTCATGATAGTGGATCATCAGTACAGTATACACCTGCAGGGAAGCAGATAGGAACATTTCATCTTCTTAATGAAGAAGGCTAAGGAATCATCAGGGGGACAAGGGTAATATCAAGTAATCATGCAAAATAATTATATAACATTTCAATATGCTATTGGAGATATTGATTATATATTCGAGGAGAGTATCTCTTTTTTAGCTTATTTTATTTCTTTTTGAATACAGGTCATCAGAGAATATTTAGCAAAGAAAGACACATATAAAGAATAGGAAGAGATTGTCCATACCCTAGAAACAACCACTGTTATTGTACTAATTTATTTGCTTTAAGTCTTTTCTTATGAGCACATATAATTTAATGCAATCTAAATCATAAAGTTTAAAAAATTTTATATTCTAAGTTCCTTTCACTCAAATATTTCATTGTGAGAATTTGCTTTGGTTTAAATATTCTACAAAACATTGTTAATGTCTGAATAATATTCCTATAGCTGTGGCATCATTTTACCCAAACATTTCCCTGTAGTTGGTCATTAAAGATATTTCCAATATTTTAAAGATCTTGATAGAGACATTATGAAAGTACCTGTTTAACTGCCCTCTAACACACTTTCCCTAAATCTGTGTCAATTATTTGGTATAAAGTGACATCTCATATTGTTTATATTTGCAGTTATTAACATCAAGGTTGGTCATTTTTTTCTTAAGTTTATTAGCTTTTTTGCATTTGAGAAAACACTTATTTGTCACTGAGCTAGCAAGGGACATATCATGGAAAAATTTATTAATGAAATCCAACAATGATTTTAGCATTGCAATGAAAACAGAAGTTATGATTAATATCATTTACTCACTGGAATTCAATGCATAACCTTTCAATTTATTGAAATCCATAACTATATATAATTTTTTTGCAATTATTAAAACCCCCAATTCTACCTTATTCTTTATATGAAGTTTTTAGTTTCTGCATACAAATAAATACTCATATATATCATAAAACTGCAGTTTTACAAAAAACACAATTTTGTAAAGAGTTTTCAATGAATATTGTTATACCAATTTATTCTTTTTATGAATGGTGTTCATAATTATACTTGTAATTGGTCATAACAATGAAACAGATCTATAATTCTTCATGTAAAATTTTAAAAATGATATAAATGCCAAAGTAAATTTGATTTAAAAGTTTGAATACATTTACAGAGAAAATTATTATTTTGCTTTTGAAAATATATGTTTTTTCCAAGAAAGAGCCAATTGTAAAATATGAGAAAATCTAGGTAAATCATTTTCTCATGTTTCAAACTTATGGATTAACACAAAATAACAAAAAAATGTAACTTTATAAAAACTTTTCTATGCAGAAGAAAAATCTGAAAATTCTTTCATCAGTTCCTGCAACCAAAGATTCTTTTGATTGCATTACATAATTGGAGAAGCAAAAAGTTTACGTTTGGTAAAGTAGAAAAAAAAAAAAAAAAGAAACCAAGCTCACTGCCATTGAGTGGATTAGACTCTTAGGGAACCCTCCTTGGATTTCCAAGGCAATATCTCTACAGAGGTAGATTTCCAAGAGGGTCAGCAAAAATGAGAGAAACTCTCAATGTGACCGATTGATACAATAGCCACAGTAAAGGATTCAAACATACCAAAGTTCATGAAAAACCACAAGCTCAAAACTCATAGTGAGCCCTGTTGGGTTTCCGAGGCTGTAAATCTTTATAGAATCAGACTCCCTCACCTTTCCTCTGTGGAAGGCTGGCGGTTAACAGCCAAATGCCTTAACCACTTTTGTTGTTATGTGCCGTTGATTCAGATCTGACTCATAGTGACCCCTCCTTGGGTTTCCGAGGCAGTATCACTAGGAAGTAGATTGCCCAACCTTCCTTCTGAGGAATGACTTAACCACTACACTACCAGAAATGCTGTGAAATACCACAGAACTGGGAAATGCTTGTTCTGTTATACATAAAGTCACCATGAGTCAGGACAGGCTTGACAGCAACTAACAGCAACAATAAAAGCTTTAGGCATATTTGAATATATCAAAGGCAATGCCAAAATCAGATAATTTAAAATACTCAAAGATGATTTTAAGAAGTCAATATCATATAAAAAACATTTCTAAGCATCTTAAATTAATAAAGATGTTTCCTGTACTCTATCTGCAGATTATAGTGTTTATATCAGAAGACCTTGGCTCAACAACCTATCTGTGGTCTTGTGAAATAACAACTTCATTACCTTGTAGAGTTGTGAATTTATAGCTTTCAGTGCACAAATACATAAATAACTATATGTCTGCGTAAGTTACTTTGACTAGTTAACCCCCATTGGGCTTCTAAGACTATAAATCTTTACAGATTGAGCACTACACCACCAGAGCTCCTTTATTATTAGCAAAGACAAAGACTGGTTAGCAGTCAAATGCCTTAGGCACTATGCCACCAGAGCTCCTATTCATATATTGGTGATTATTAAATCAATCGCTTCTAAATTTTTCCATGAAATATAGACTGGACATTCAATATTATTGAGTGTCTTCAAAAATCGAGTGACATATAGATAGTTGACAGAGACAGCATAGTGGTCAAGAGTCCAGAAACTGAAGCAAGAATGCTTATTTTCAGATCGTAGTAATGCCACAGAGTAGTTAAAATATCTTAGATAAGTTACTTAACCACTCTGTGCCTCAATTTTCTCATCTACAAAATGGGAAAAACAATAGTCCTTACTTCAGAGAGATGTTCTGAGGATTAAGTGAGTTAATATTTGACGTGCTTATATCATCATTAAGAAGACAGACATCAAACATAATAAATGCATCTTTTAAATTTATTTGTTGATTTATTTACCAGAACTTTCTCAGCCTTCTAAGTTAACTGATATTAGACATATTCCCGTCACATGGGCTGACAAAGTTTTGGTTTCCAAGCAGATTGTTAAGGCTATTGGAAATCATTAGGCTCAGAACATAAGACAACTTTTAAGGAACTACTATGAAAATTTAGACACGAAATAGGCTCTGAAATTTGGGAACATGAGGTGAAATGGATGTCTCTGGCTTGCTGCTACACAGTTCCTAGAATGGTAATAAATAATAATGTTGTTGTTGTTGTTATGTGCTGTCGAGTCGGACCTAGTCATAGCTACCCCTCCTTAGGTTTCTGAGGCAGTTTCCCTACGGAAGTAGATTGCCCTACCTTCCTTCTGAGTAATAATAGGTAAGTCCATTTTTGTCAGACAAAACTTTGATATAAAGCTCACCCAAGTATGTGGCTATGCTGTCTGAAGCAAGTTCTATCCATGTAATTATTTCTACTGATTTATACCTTTGAGTTACAGGGTTGGTGAAGAATATTAAATATACCATGGACTGCCAGAAGAATGAGAAATCTCTCTTGGAAGAAGTACAGCTAGAATGCTCCTTAGAAGCAAGGATGGTGAGGCTTCATCTCACATACTTGGATGTGTTACCAGAAGGGACAAATCTCTAAAGAAGAACATCATGCTTGGAAAGTAAAGGGTCAGTAAAAAAGAGGAAGATCCTCAATGAGATAGTTTGACACAGTGACTCCAACAATGGGCATAAACATAGCAACAATTGTGAGGATGGTACAGGACTGGGCAGTGTTTCATTCTATTGTACATAAGATTGCTATGAGTTGGAACTGACTCAATGGCACATAACAACAAACATCATTCCTGTCTGTTCAGTGGGGATCACAACAACAGCAACAATACTCCTCCTTATACTGGAGTAAAGATAAAGCAGCTAACTCATGACATGTATATTATTCTGCTTAACAATATCAATCTCTCAATGACTTTATTAAGAACACACAATAGTTATACTCCTTGTAAGTGCTCCTGGCCATGGTTCAAGGATTTTAAAGGTGACTTATTTTTCGTTGTTTACATCTCCAGTCACCTGCTCCATCAAGGCTGTTGTTGTTATGTGCTGTCGAGTCGGACCCGACTCATAGTGACCCCTCCTTGGGTTTCTGAGGCAGTATCACTATGAAAGTAGATTGCCCAACCTTCCTTCTGAGGAGTGGCTGGTGGGTTTGAACCGCCAGCCTTCTGGTTAGCAGTCAAGTGCCTTAGGCACTACGCATATACTTGAAACCAGAGCGGTGGAGTCCACTGAGTCCTCTGAATAGAGGGAAGGATTTTTTGGCCTATAATTTTTACCAGTCGCTTTTGAGTGGATTTAGACTCATAGTGAACCCGTGTGCGTCAGAGTAAAACTGTGCTTCATAGAGTTTTCAAAGGCTGATTTTTCAGAAGTAGATTGTCAGAACTTTCTTCCAAGGTGATTGGGTGGACTTGCACCTCCAATCTTCTGATTAGCAGCCAAGTGCATAACTTTTTGCACCACCCAGGAACTCCTCTATAATTGTTAGCACTAGAGAAATTAAGGAAATGACTATTTTGAAATCCTTTCTGCCTGACCATATCTGCACATCTTATTTCTCCTCTCCCTATTATTGCCTGCTCCCTTGCAACAAACAATATTGCCTTGTGTTCCTAATTTTAAAATTTCCTTTTTACCAATTACCTTCTTTTTATTTGTAATTCACCCCACCTTTTCCAGTCTATCTTTATTCAATTTAGTCAATTGTAAGTGTCCTACTTTCACCAAGGGCAATATTGGGGAATATTTTGGAAAAAAAATAAAACATGACTGTGTATCATTTAATTGACTCTGTGCTAATACAGGGGGTAATATGACAAACAAGGTAGAGAGGATCATTGGCCTCACAGAGATTACAGTCCAGTATGGCATTCAGACAATGATAAGGCAACTATAATGGAGAATGATAATGTGACATGATTGAAAAGTGTATAGACACAAGCTATATGTGCTTAGAAGAAGTGGTACTTCACATAAGAGCATTAGGATGAGGGAATTAGAGTCAAGAGAGAATGGAGCATGTGGGAGAACCTGGAAATATTCAATATTGTAAAATGTTACGAAGGAGTGATATTTGCTCAGACT